GATAGAATGATGAACTGTCAGAGGGAGAGAATGATGAACTGTCAGAGAGAGAGAATGATGAACTGATAGAGGGATAGAATGATGAACTCATGGAGGGAAGAGAATGATGAACTGTTAGAGGGATAGAATAATGAACTGATGGAGGGAGAGAATGATGAACTGTTAGAGGGATAGAATGATGAACTGATGGAGGGAGAGAATGATGAACTGTTAGAGGGATAGAATGAATCCGCTGTCAGGGATGTTTTCTCTGTGAAGTCTTCTGTGAGGACTCTTAGCTCAAAGTGCCATGGTACCTTTAATGGATAAGATGGTGCTTTCCTAGACAGCTTAGCGATTTCTTTGAGAGCTAGTTGCTTACTTCTCAGATGGTGGTTTGCTGTCACACTGATTTTCAAAAACCCTCTCCTTATATACCTTGGGTGACATATCAAAATTCTTGCAATAACATTGAAATGAAGTTGTCAAAACCATCAGATTTAAATTCAATTGGCTTTCAATCGCTAAGTGCTTGGTTTAAATTAATTGGCTGATTCCAGCTCGTTGCCAAAGCATCAAAACATGCCTAAGAGATAGTAAGAGCTGCAGATGCTGGAGTCAGAGATAACACAGTGTAGAGCTGGAGGAACACAGCAGGCCAGGCAGCATCAGAGGAGCAGGAAAGCTAATGTTTCGGGTCAGGATCCTTCTTCAGAAATGGGGGAGTGGGGGGAAGGGAACTCAGAAATAAATAGAGAGAGAAGGGGTGGGGCTGGGGAAGGTAGGTGGGATGGTGATATGTGGATGCAGATAGGGGGTAGTACAGATTGGTCAGTGAAGTGGGTGGGTGGGGCAGATAGATGGGGAAGAAGATGGACAGGTTTTGTCAGGTTAAGGAGGTGGGGATGAGGGGGAGGGTTGGACATGGGATGAAGCCAGGGGTGGGGAGATTTTAAAACTGGTAAAATCCACGTTCAGGCCATTGGACTGTAGGCTCCCAAGGAGGAATATGAGGTGCTGCTCCTCCAGGAGGCCCAGGATGGACGTATCACCCAGAGAGTGGGAGGGGGAGTTAAAATTGTTCACGACCAGAAGGTGTTGTCGTTTAATGCATACAGAGCGCAGATGGGCTACAAAACGGTCTCCAAATCTCCGCTTGGTCTCACCAATGTATAGGAGACCACTTTGGGAGCAGCGGTAGACCAGCCATTTACACAGCCAATTGATACGTTTCCATTTCAGAACTGGCTATACACCTTCAGCTACATACAGACACTTTCTTCTTTCTGTGTAAATGTCTAAGCTCAGAAAAGCACTTAACCCCTTAAAGGAAACACACACTCTTCTCTCGTAGAGCCAATAAATGTGGAGCTGGAAAAGCACAGCAGGTCAGACAGCATCTGAGCTCCTCCTCGGATACCAACTGACCTGCTGTACTTTTCCAGCTCCATGTTTATTGACCAGCATCTGCATTCCTTACAGACTCCTCCTCCCACTCTTCTCCCTAATCAGAGACAGTAGGAACTGTAGATGCTGGAGAATCTGAGATAACAAGGTGTAGAGCTGGATGAACACAGCAGGCCAAGCAGCATCAGAGGAGCAGGAAGGCTGACATTTCGGGCCTAGACCCTTCTGAAGAACGTCAGCTTTTCCCTAATCAGTTTTTTTACAATAAAATTCTAGCTTCCTGCCTTCCAATTCATGACCACTCTACAAAACATTGTAACAGATGGAACGATGAACTGATAGAGAGATAGAATGATGAACTAACAGAAAGATGGAACGATATATTGGTACATGATACATGATGCCACATTTGGAGTGTTGTGTTCAATTCTGGGCACATTATTTAAGGAAGGATGTTAAAGCCCTGGAAAAGGTGCAATGGAGATTTACTAGAATGATCCCAGGAATGAGGGATTTTAAATACAGGGAAAGATTAGAGAGATTGGGTTTATTCTCTTTGGAGCAGAAGAAGATTAAGAGGCGATCTTTTTGAGGTGTTCAAAGTTAGGAACAAATTTGACAGGGTAAAGAAGGATATTCTGTTTCCACTAGTTAGTATGTTAGTAACTAGGGATCACAATTTGAACACCATCAGCGAAAGAGCTAGGAGTGAGATGAGGAGAAGCTCCTTTACGCAGAGAGTTGTTAGGATTTGGAATGTGCTGCGTGGGAGAGTGGGGGAGGCGGATTCCACAGGAGGTTTCAAAAGGGAGCCGGGTATATACTTTAAAAGGGATGAAGTTAGAGGGATATGGAGATAGGGCTGGAGGGTGAGATTAGCTGGGTAGCTCTTTGAGGAGCCAGTACAGACATGATCAGCCGAATGACCTCCTCTGTACTGTAAAACTCTGTGATCCTATGATAAACCGATCATAGAATATTGAAATGATAAAGGGATGAAAGATGACCAGGGGACAAGCCTGGCTATTGAGTTCTGCTCTGGTTAGAGGGGACTGGAATGTGGGAGGAGTTTGTGGAAGGTGGTATGTCTGTTGTGTGTCTGGGTGGTAGAGATTTGGAAGGTGATGCTGTTAGGGTGCTGTGGTGACAGTGATGGTGTAGATAATACAGCGTACTGTCCCTGTGCGTCGGTGGGGAAGGGCCAGGGTGGTGTGTGCTGAGTTTTCAGGTTTTAGGGGGATTTATAAATTGGGGCTAGCGCTGGCCAATTTGCAGCTTCCATGTCAGGAGGTCAGTTTGGGGATGTGAAATACAGTGTCAGCGTGTTACAGGATGAGGAGTCACATAAACCTGCAGGGTTAATATTGTGGGGACTGTCTCACTGTCCTCCTCTTCCACCAACTCAAACCCAAAACAGGTTTCTGCAGCTTAAACACCACTGGGTAAAAATATCATCCTGCCTGTGAGGTTCCAGTTCAGAGAGAGAGCCATCTATAACTCATGTGGTGTCAATGGCAGCTAATCCCATATTTGGAAATCGGTGTGATCTGGGGTTGCTCCTCGGGAAAGGGAGTGGAGATGCTGCAAATGACAACATTGACTGGGATCCTTCAGTTAATCAGAGACTCTCGGAAATCTGAAGCACTGAGGGCCCAGGGAAACACAGGATCCACTCACATACCACTGACCTCCAGCCAGGGCCCTCCTTATGTTACAACAGACCTCACACTCTCACTCTCACACTCTCACTCACACTC